CCACATGAGGGCTCATTACCAGACCGGCTCCAACCACATGATGCTCAACGTCAACCTCTGGTCCACCCTGTTCCTGGGGGCAGGTGAGGGGGGTGGGCTGGGGCTGGGGATGGATCCCAGGGGTGGAATCCAGGGGTGGATCCCAATAATGGATCCCAGCAATGGATCCCAGGGGTGGATCCCAGGGGAGGACCCCAGGATGGAGCTCAGGAATTGATCTTGAAATGGATCCCGGGGTGGATCCCACAGATCGAGCTCAGGTTTAGATCCCAGGAACAGCCACGCCCTGCCCTGGGCAACCTGAGGACCGAAAATGGGCCTGGAGCAGTTTGGGACCAGGATTCGGGGTTGTTTTGGGTTTTTTGTGGGTTCCATTTCTGGCAAATGGGGCTGGTGCAGCCCCAGGCTCCCCCAAAAGGTCCTGGAGCAGCTCCTGACCCAGCCGGGAGCAGCACCCGGTGCCCGGGCAGGGCTGGAGCAGCACCCAAAGCCTGGGCAGGGCTTGAGCAGCACTCTGTGCCTGGGCAGGGTAGGGCTGGCAGCTGCCTCTGCCCCTGGAACGGGAACAGCACTCTGTGCCTGGGCAGTGTTGGGATGGGATGGGCAGCACTCTGTGCCCAGGCAGGGTTGGAGCAGCACCAGGGCAGGGCTGGAGCAGCTCTCTGTGTCCGGGCAGAGCTGGGATGGAGCAGCTCTCTGTGCCCAGGCAGTACAGCTCTCCCTGCCCCTGGAACGGGACCAGCTCTCTGTGCCCGGGCAGCGCTGGGATGGAGCAGCTCTCTGTGCTCAGGCAGCGCTGGCAGCTCTAGGGCCCTGCCCCTGGAACGGGACCAGCTCTCTGTGCCCGGGCAGGGCTGGAGCAGCATTCTGTGCCCAGGCAGTGTTGGCAGCTGCACCTGGAACAGGAACAGCACTCTGTGCCCAGGCAGAGCTGAGATGGGATGGGATGGAGCAGCACTCTGTGCCCGGGCAGGGCAGAGCTGGGATGGAGCAGCACTCTGTACCCAGGCAGGGCTGGACTGGGGCAGCACCCGGTGCCCAGGCAGCGCTGGCAGCTCTAGGGCCCTGCCCCTGGAACGGGAACAGCTCTCTGTGCCCGGGCAGCGTTGGGATGGGATGGGCAGCTCTCTGTGCCCAGGCAGGGCTGGGTTGGAGCAGCACTCTGTGCCCAGGCAGTGTTGGGATGGAATGGGACCAGCTCTCTGTACCCAGGCAGGGCTGGGATGGGGCAGCTCTCTGTACCCAGGCAGTACAGCTCTCCCTGCCCCTGGAACAGGAACGGGACCAGCTCTCTGTGCCCAGGCAGTGTTGCCAGCTGCACCTGGAACAGGAACAGCACTCTGTGCCCAGGCAGGGCAGTGTTGGGATGGAGCAGCACTCTGTGCCCAGGCAGGGCAGTGTTGGGATGGAGCAGCACTCTGTGCCCAGGCAGGGCAGGGATAGAACAGCACTCTGTGCCCAGGCAGTGTTGGGATGGAGCAGCTCTCTGTGCCCAGGCAGTACAGCTCTCCCTGCCCCTGGAACAGGAACGGGACCAGCTCTCTGTACCCAGGCGGTGTTGGCAGCTGCCCCTGCCCCTCGAACAGGAGCTGGTGCAGGTCCCTTCCAGCCCCAGCCGTGCCCTGAGTCATTCATTGCTGGGCACTCTCTGGAGTTTGATCCCAATTAATGATCTCTCACTAATTAACCAGGAGGGTGATTGCTGCTCTTTCCTCCTGCCGTTCGTGGAATTTGCCCCCTGTTTTCAGGGGTTCTGAGTTCAGCCTGACCCCACATGGGCAGGGGCTGTGGGGTTCCTGTGGGGTTCCTGTAGGGTTCCTGCAGGGTTCCTGCTCCTGTGGGGTTCCTGTGGGGTTCCTGTAGGGTTCCTGTGGGGTTCCTGCTCCTGTGGGGTTCCCACTCCAGGCTGGGTCTGTGGGGTTTCTGTGGGGTTCCTGTGGGGTTCCCATTCCAGGCTGGGTCTGTGGGGTTCCTTCTCCAGGAGGGGCTCTGGGGTTCCTGTGGGGTTCCCACTCCAGTGGGATTCCCATTCCTGTGGGGTTCCTGCTCCATTGGGGTTCCAGTAGGGCTCCCATTACAGGCAGGGGCTCTGGGGTTCCTGTGGGGTTCTTGCTCCAGTGGGGTTCCCATTCCTGTGGGGTTCCCATTCCTGCGGGGTTCCCATTCCTGCGGGATTCCCATTCCTGCGGGGTTCCCGCTCCAGTGGGGTTCCTGCTCCAGTGGGGTTCCCATTCCTGTGGAGTTCCTGCTCCTGTGGGGTTCCTGCTCCTGTGGGGTTCCTGCTCCTGTGGGGTTCCCATTCCTGCGGGATTCCCATTCCTGTGGGGTTCCTGTGGAGTTCCCATTCCTGTGGGATTCCCATTCCTGCAGGATTCCCATTCCTGTGGGGTTCCTGTGGGATTCCCGTTCCTGTGGGTTCCCATGGAGTTCCCACTCCAGGCCATCCCTCCTGTTTTGCAGGGATCCTGTTCACGGGGGAGCTCTGGGAGTTCCTGAGCTTCGCCGAGCGTTATCCCAGCATCATCTCCAACATCCTCCTCTTCGGCCTCACCAGCGCCCTGGGCCAGGTTGGTGTCCTCAGGGACGGGATTTTGGGTGACATTTCCATCCCTGGGAGGGGCTGGGATGGAACCCTGGATCCCTAGAAGTACCCAAGGCCGGCTTGGAGCAGCCTTGGAGCTGCCCCTGGATGGAACTGGATGAATTCCCATCCCAAAATTCCCCAAAACCTCACAAATGATAAGGATTTGGAGCAGATCCAAATCCAAATGTGGCATTTCCTGGCAGTGCCAGTGACGGTTTCTCTGTGTTCATCGGGGCAGAGTTTCATCTTCATGACCGTGGTGTCCTTCGGGCCCCTGACGTGCTCCATCATCACCACCACCCGCAAGTTCTTCACCATCCTGGCCTCGGTGGTGCTCTTCGCCAACCCCATCAGCCCCATGCAGTGGGTGGGCACCGTGCTGGTGTTCCTGGGTGAGTTTGGGTGCTGAACCTGTGGGATCCATCCTTGGGAATTCATCAAATCTGTTGGGATCGGGTGAGGATGCTTTGGGTGCTGAACCCATGGGATCCATCCTTGGGAATTCATCAAATCCATTGGGATCGGGTGAGATGCTTTGGATTCTGAACCCGTGGGATCCATCCTTGGGAATTCATCAAATCTGTTGGGATTGGGTGAGGACATTGTGGATTCTGAACCCTTGGGATCCCTCCTTGGGAACGCCTCAAATTCATTGGGATCGGGTGAGAATTCTCTGGGACCAGCACAATTTGGGTGCTGAACCCATGGGATCCATCCTTGGGAATTCATCAAATCCATTGGGATCGGGTGAGGATGCTTTGGGTGCTGAATCTGTGGGATCCCTCCTTGGGAATTCATCAAATCCGTTGGGATCGGGTGAGGACATTCTGGGTTCTGAACCCATGGGATCCATCCTTGGGAATTCCTCAAATCCGTTGGGATTGGGTGAGAATTCTCTGGGACCAGCAGAGTTTGGGTGTAGAACCCGTGATTCTGTCCTTGGGAATGCCTCAAATCCATTGGGATTGGATGAGAATGCTTCAGGTTCTGAACCCATGGGATCCCTCTCTGGGAACTCCTCAAATCCGTTGGGATCAGGTGAGGACACTTTGGGTTCTGAACCCATGGGATCCATCCTTGGGAATTCCTCAAATCCGTTGGGATTCTCAAATCTGATGGGTGAGGATGCTCTGGGACCAGCAGAGTTTGGGTGCTGAACCCATTATTCCATCCTTGGGAATTCCTCAAATCCGTTGGGATCGGGTGAGGATGCTTTGGGTTCTGAACCCATGGGATCCCTCCTTGGGAATTCTCAAATCCATTGGGATCGGGTGAGGATGCTTTGGGTGCTGAATCTGTGGGATCCATCCTTGGGAATTCCTCAAATCCATTTGGATCAGGTGAGGATGCTTTGGGTTCTGAACCCATGGGATCCTTTCTTGGGAATTCCTCAAATCCTTTGGGATCAGGTGAGGACGCTCTGGGACCAGCAGATCCCATTGGTCTTTTCCCCATACCTCAAATCATTCCAAGGGATCATTGAAAAATATGGGAATATTCTAATTTTTTTCATATTTTTTCCCAAAATTCCCAGCTTTGAGGAACACAAATCACATATTTTGGGGATATTCCATTGATTTTTCCCAAAATTCCTCATTTTCTGCTGCTTTGAGGAACGCAAATTCCATGTTTTGGGGATATCCTGTTGATTTTTTTCCCAAAATTCCCCGTTTGCTGCTTCACTGAGGAATGCAAATCCCTTGTTTTGGGGATTTTTCCAAAATTCACAGCTTTCTGCTGCTTTGAGGAATGCAAATATTCCATTGATTTTTCCCAAAATTTCCCATTTGCTGTTGCTTTAAGGAATGCAAATCCCGTGTTTTGGGGATTTTCCCAAAGTTCACAGCTTTCTGCAGCTTTGAGGAATGCAAATCCCATGTTTTGGGGATATCCAGTTGATTTTTCCTAAAATTCCCATTTTTCTGCTGCTTTGAGAAACTCAAATCCC